AGCTTATTTATAGTTATTTTAAATCATAAGCTAATCATTTAATTTTGCAACGACAATATCTTTACACAATTTAATATATGAAATATAGTCTAACTATTCAGCATCATTATCACGGTCCGAGTTGAAAGAAACGTTGTTTTAAAAAAAATTGAAGGAAACGGTGGAACGACGACTAGTTGCTTAAAACGATTTTTTTTTAATAGTCTAACATGTTCTAGTTCTGTTATAAGCCCGCAAACCTCATATCCTATTGCTTAAACCGGAACTTATTTTTATAGAAATTCAAATTTTGTGAGGCTGAAACAAGAAATGAAACATCCGGTGGAAATATGGTTCGATCACCCAATATTTATTTTGTTTATTTTAAGTCATCTATTGAAAACATCATAAAATGATGTCACCAACCTCAAGGTTAATTTCTACAATGCTTTCCTATTTTTGAATTCTTTTCTTTTGAGGAAACTAAAGAAAGTAAGAATAAGTCACTGCATTGCATTAATCAAACCCCTCTTGGTCTATATTTAATCGGATTGTTGATTATTCATCCGTTTCTAATTAACGGTTAAAAGGCTTAATGGATTATATATTTATAGTAAAACTACCCATTTTCTTAAATTTCATTTTTTTCTAAAATTATGTATATATTGTTAAAAAATTGTTAATTGACTAACACTAATTATTTACTCAATGGCAAATAATTTTATCTGATTTTTACAACTATTGATGAAATAACGGAAAATGATAACTGGATTTTAAATGAACTCAGGTGTTCAATCCTTAACCCCCTGTTATATCTCATGTATTTGAGTTTGGTTTATTAATAATTGACTAAAGTTAAATTAAGAATATATTAAGAGGTCGACTGTATAAAACTTTAGTTCATCTAACATTCGGAACCATTCGGAATTAGTCTTACCACTCTAGAAAAAAATCAAAAGGGACAAACTATAATTATAGAATAAGTAGTTGTAGAGTAAACCAATATTATAGATATAGCATATAGGTATCACTATCAGTGTAACGCCTCCGATCATTTATAAACCGAAAACGCTATTGACGAACACTTAGATGTCCGATCAGAGGTTTCCGGAACATATTCAAATTCTCTAGACAAGATTTCTAAGCGTCCATCCCCATTTGATACATCTCAAGGCTTGCCAACCCGAGACATACACGATGTTTAGTTTGTCTGGACAAAGACTAGTATCACATGAAACCCGAATCCGAATTTATGCAAATTCGATTTTTTTATATATAATTTATACATAAGTTTTAAACGTGATACAAACATATACAATCGTGAGTCTAACACTCCAAAACGATCATGTACATAATAAACATTATTCATTTACAAAAGGCAAGGAAATCTACTACTGAATTTCCTAACGWTCKTTTGGCTCCCYGTGGTCTACCCGCTAATGGTTACCTGCAACACAAGTAGAGTCGTYAGCACTAGTTGCTCAGTGAGTCTAGGCTCCCCTAACATTCAATAATCAATTCTCAACCAAACCCAAAATGACAATCGACACGCAAGCAAGCAAATCTAACAAAAAAAATGTGATAAGTTATGCAATGTCAATATAAGGCCTTTCGCGTAGACTATTTCCCTTCACGTCAAATCATAAGGTATCCATCAGCCCAAAGCCACAAAGGCTAAAGACCTAAGATCCTTCACCGTTCCAATGACCTTATGTATATAAGGATCCGCACCGGAAATTCTGCATCGTCATGCAGTACACGGCCAAAGACTGCAATCCCGTCTCTCCGTGTCTTCATGTACTTAGACTAATACTCAACGTACTAGCTATGTCATGGCTTTCAAGAGAACGTCTTACCGGATCATCATAATTTATAAGTCTTACTATCAACTTAGGTTATAAGAAAACTTATAAATATGTATCAACAATCCAACTTAGTAATTTTCACATGCTTAAGCTTTTAAGTACTTAGCAAAAATATAAATCACGCAGCAACGAACCTCATTTGTAATTTAATTAAACACGCAACAAGTATCACCGAGACTCACCTTTGACTTAGTGAAAGGTCGCGGTTTTTTCCAAGGTTTTCTACTCTCAA